AATTCTCGAAGAAACAGCCCATTTCATGTCCCGGCAACAAAATGAAAGTTTCTTTCGGATCGGAGGTGTGTTTGCACATCGGAGTGCATGACTTTCAACGCGCTGGGAGATGTAGGTCATTAAATTGCTACTTCTAGGACCGATTACTCCCTGGAAGCAATTGAATCGACGCGGAACACGCTCGGCGCGGAGGACAGACCNAGGATTAGGAACACCAGCCTCCTTCTCGGCAAAGGCCGAAAGAGCCACCCTCGGACGTCGAAGGCTGGACCACGGATGATGGCGGCGACGACAGAGGAGCCTCCGCTACCTCTCCGGCCACGGGGATTTACACGGAAGTCGTGTTTTCTCCGGCGTAGATACATCCTTAGATATCGTGCGGCTGCCACTCAACCGGATCCTGGGAATTCGTTCGTCCCCCAGCTGACAATGAGAAAAGTAGGGTTCGAACCGCGGCCGTCACGCAAAGTGCACCGAGGCACCGGTCCTAGCCGGCTTCGATCATCCACGATAAACCATTCGTCTAGCTCTTGTTTTCAAGCCCTGGTTCAACCGCCTCGCGGAATCCTGCGTTCCCTGCGAGCTGCACAGCGACAGCCATCTTTGAACGCCGCGGCTTCGTTGCAGTTACATACGCAGAACATTTCGGGGTGCATATTTATTCGCGAACCGGTCGATCTTTATCACGGCTCTCTAATGGACTCGTTTGTAGCAAATTAGTTTTTCTACGTTGTTAGGTACGTTATTCGATGTTGCATTTCAGCGGATTTAACGACAGCATCGACAACCAAATGATCGACGTTAATTTTTTTTAACACTGAATTTAGAATATTCGTTCAGAAACGTGCGGATATTTATCAGAATTTTCTAGTGGATTCGTTTGTAGGAAATTGTATTCTTTGCATTGTTAGTTATGCCACTTGATTGATGTTCGTTTTCTTATCGATTTCGTGACAGCATTGACTTTCAAGTGGTTGATGGTAATTTTCGTCACCTAAATCTAGATATACTGTTTTCGAATGAAATTACGAGCATTTTTTCACACAAAGAGACTTATTTCTTGCATTCGTACATTTGTTTACGCTTTCGGATATCAATTTGTTGTAGATCTCGAGCATCAATCTTTGAATGATTGGTGTGAATTTTCAACCCGAAAATAAATCTACTAAGTACAGTAAATTCTCCCTAATTGACGCACAGCTTGGAAATAAAAATTGATAATTTGGAAGGAGGAGATACGATTATTCGAGTCTTGCGGCTCGTTTTTATAGCCAACAATTATAAAAGTTCCCAAATTGTTCACTTTTGTTTGCAAGCTGAAAAAAATTAGGGAGAATTTACTGTATCAGTAAAAGCTGCAGCAAGACCACAACATTAGATCATGGTTATTCCTCCGCCGATTCCGAGCAATATCAACGGGTAGCGTTCTCCAAGCGAAATGTTAAAATCCAAAATCACAGTGAAGTCTATGAAACGTGTCAGTGCCGAGGCACCGCGGCAGAAATTCTCGAAGAAACAGCCCATTTCATGTCCCGGCAACAAAATGAAAGTTTCTTTCGGATCGGAGGTGTGTTTGCACATCGGAGTGCATGACTTTCAACGCGCTGGGAGATGTAGGTCATTAAATTGCTACTTCTAGGACCGATTACTCCCTGGAAGCAATTGAATCGACGCGGAACACGCTCGGCGCGGAGGACAGACCACGGACTGGCAGAAAAAGGAGCCGGGAACGCACCGGCGTTCGCAAATGACCCGTGTGAATTACAGTAAAGTAGTAGTTTCACGCGGCGGAGCAGTTTTCAGCGGCTGCTTTGCATACTGTTGCAGCGCTAACGACTATAACCTTTCGCGGCGGCGGCGGCGGCGGCATGGCAGCGGAGGGAGAAAAAAAAATGTATCGTAAAACGCGGCGCGGCTTCCATCGGCGATTTTTCATCGCCGGTTTCTACACTCCTCTGTCGCCGGCCGTTGTTGCATCATGGCCAGTGATTAGCTCGGTCTTCGTGATCGATGCCGACGGTAAACGTATTGTGATCCGCGATAAGGCAATTCACGGCGCGCCGTGATTCGTCGGCGTTGCTCTCCGATTTGCTCGCGTCGTTTGCGCAGCTCCGCTTCCTGGATCGCCGGCCCGCTGAAAGAAAATTCGTCCTTCCGTTTCGGAGGCCGCGTGAATCGACTACTGCACCCAATTGCATCACGGTCTTCGAACCGCGATAACAACAAATAGCCCCGCGCTCGACATTTATCGCGTCCGGTCGACGCGGAACATGGTCGGGCGACAAAATGTTGGAACAATACCTGCCTAATCGTCCGAGCTAATGTATGCGACGATACCGTTCCCGGCTGAAATCGTTCCATTGACCGTCCACTAACCCAGTACCGCTTCTAGACCCCATGGAAACTCCATTTTGTCCCTGCGAAACTCTTCACTTTGTTGCCTCGCTGAAAGTTCCGTCTTCTCTTCTGCAAAATTCGCGTTCAATTAAGATTTAATCTCCGCGGCGCGTCAAAGACTGCGCTGTCATTTTTCGAAAAACAATTTTGACTTCGTTCAATTTATCCTTATTTGAACTATCAGACGCCACAACTGATCCAGTTGTATCGCCTTATTGAACTAATAAGACCGTTTAACTAATTTGTAATTAATTAATTTTTAATTTTCAACTACTATACCAGAATCCTCGACTTTTCAATGAAACGTTTAACATTTTCACAGTACAAACAGACTCGTTCTATATATTTAAGTTCTAATTCATATGTTTTAATATGAGTTTTTAGTATGTCTTCTTGTGGACGGTCAAATTATCAGATGAGAATCCTCGACAACGAAGTAAAATTCGTAACATTTTTGTTCCGAGAAGCATTATTTCCCGCATTTCGAGCTACATTAAAATTTTCTTGGATCAATGATTGGCAGTTTCAGCTCCCAAACTATGTGCTAAATCTAAATTTGCATGATCGGACCTGTTAAATTCTGAAGACTCCAAGTCCGACAGTAATTTATTCGGATTTTTCGAGCGTTTATCGAGGCTATCCATCAATTAGTTATAGATCTTCCTCTCGACATCGATCCTAAAGGGTTCACGTCGTTAATTCCCAGGCTTTAAATCATGATCCTCGGTGTCATTTCGCGATCGATCTCGGCGACTGGTTGATCCACCGGGTCAGCCGTCCACGCCCCGGGGCGCTGGTGACACGGGTAGCAATAAATCATGAGAATCATAACGTGTATGCACGTATGCATGTCCGGTCGGCTCACCATAAATTACGTTAATTAATAGTCACGCTTATTATCACACAGGGAAAGGTACCGCGGGCAGAGGCAGCCCGGTGTTACGTTACGCGGATAATTCCGAGTTTCGTCGTCGACATCTTACTCGTCTCGTGCCTCTCGTATCTCGCTCTCCTCTCCACTCCTCTCCTCTCCGCTCTTCTTCGTAGTACTCTCCGTCCGCCGTGTCGCCGTCCCCATGTCGATTTATGGAGAATTTTCTCGCGCTTCCTTGGAAATAACAACGGTCGACCGACGGGAAAATGACAAGGCAGCGTGTTTGGATTTCTAAATGACTGCGTTACGTTCAAGGATTCACACCGCGGCGCATTACGCTACATTGTAATTAGGGTATAAACATAATGGCGCGATCGCACCGACGATACCGTCGCCGGCTGGCACGATGGCGTCCATTTAGCCCGCACGTAATTATTTTAAGATTAATTTAGAACAATTCCCTTTCTTTTTTCGTTTCGAATTAATTACGCCACAGTTACCGCTCCGATATATTGTTCGCCGTGATACCGATCGCGGAGATTAATGATCGTTTAGCACCTCGGATGGCTACCGAATTTCTCACCATTGCCACACGGCGATTTATCATACCTTGATTCGATTAGGCTCGCAACAAGGCGACTTGCATTCATGAAATTCAAATTTATTTCAACAAATTACTGGTATAATTCCGATCCTTCAAATCGTTGCCGTTACTTTCTACAATCCTTTGCTGTATCAGCCTTTATCTGTTAGGCTAATCTAGCTCATCTACAAGTTACTGATTCATAATTTAACACTGCCATAATTTCATAAGTTACATTGTACGTCTCTAATAATACGTCTCCATCATAACGTACGTAGAAATTGAAACGTCTCTAAAAACGTTGCACAATTTTGTTTGCGAATGAAATTCCCACGGGTTTCAAAATTGAAGCTTCCTCTTTACAACGACACCTCAAAACTTGGTCTATGATTTTTTTTAGTCGTCCTATGGAGTTTTTAATGAGAAACGTCCCACAGCTTTGTAGAAACAGAAACTAAACCACGAGGGTTTTACACTCCCAAACCTGGTCTCCGTTTCTGTTGCATAAAACAGACAAAAAAAATCGTAGATCAAGCTTCGAGACGTCGTTGCAAAGAGTAGACTTCGAGCTTCAAATCTATGATAGGGTCATTAAGAGAAAAAATTTTTTCAAACTTTTCAAGCCGTTTCAATATGGAGCATTTTTAAGAGACGCGACGTGTTCAATCTTGCAGTTGCCATATTCTGCAAAATCATGTAACAAGAAAGAAAGATACCTGTTGCAAAAGTGGAAGCTTCAAATTTTAAGATGAGCTCAGATTCATTGCCGTACGATTTCTTTTCACGGAATTGTACCAGTTTCAAATATCGACAATTTCTCGAAAATTCGTAAAATGTGTTTATTACATTAAATGCAATGCAATAAAATCGTTTAAAGAGTTTCCCGATTTGCTTTGGAGTTTTCCGATATGTTTAAAAATTTTCTTGTTTGTTTAGAGATTTTCCGGTTTGTTTCCGAGTTTCGCGGTTTGTATCCGCTTCTGCCGGTTTGCTCCGCGATTTCCCGTTTCGTTTCCAAGTTTCTCGATGCGTTCCGGACTTTCTCGGTTTGTTTTCGGTATCGGTGGACCGCCGGGCAGGTTTCAGTTGTTATATCTCTTTAGTTCGGCAGCCGGCAGTGACGAGGACTCTGAAAGTTGATGTTAGGGTGGTGCATGTTCGCAGACCTCTCGCCGTTGGGCGACAAGAGCGGCAGCCTCGTCGATGAGCTCGGCGGCGGTGGCGGTGGTTCTTTGAGGAATGGTAAGGGCAAGAAGATGAGGAAACCGCGTACGATCTACAGCAGCCTGCAGTTGCAACAACTCAACAGGCGATTCCAGAGGACGCAGTACCTGGCCCTACCGGAGAGAGCGGAGCTAGCGGCGAGCCTTGGACTGACGCAGACGCAGGTAAGCCACTCTTCTTTTTCAGTTCTGTACGCGTGCATCGACACAGACGTAATCCTATTGATCCGATGTCCGGATACAGATAACAAGATATTTTCATACGGCCGCGTACGCGCCGGCCGGGGTAAACAACTCGGTAAACCGCCGGCAAATAGCCGCCTGTCTCCGCGGCATGTCAAAGCGACACGTTTCACCCGCGAATCCTGCGAGCAATTAATTTTCTATTATGATGCAGCAACTCCATAGTTATAAAATCGATGACCGACGTATCTGCGTGAACGGTATCTTAGGAATTCTATGCAGCGTTGCACGGGACAATTGCATTCGATGCGTGGAGATTTGTGCCGCGAGAGTTTTTCCAGCGAATAAATAGAAGTATTTTTAGTATTAGGTTGGGAAATTTTAGACACAGTTAAGTTGTCAGTGTACTTTAATCCTTTGCACTCGAGTGGTGACTCTGAGGCACCACTAAGATTATTGTATCACGTTCCAAGATAATTTTTATATTAACAAAGTTTACATTTGAAACATTGTTAAAAGTGTAACTGTTGTACGAGTCATCGGAAAACTCGATTTCATATGCATAAAATGCACTTTGTTATATAAAATGGAAAGACTGTAAGTCCGATAAATTATTTCAGGTTTACGATTAAAATAGCTTCGAGTACAAAGGGTTAAGAATTTATTTTGTTGCCAGTTCGATGAAAAATTGAGCGATGTTTGATCGTAGCAACTCAAAGGTACTCAAACCTTCATGAAATCCTAGAATTTTTTATAATTATTTCTAAAAGTCAAAGAAGGGATGGCGAAATCTTCGGAGCAATACGTAATAACTATTCACTGCAAATATTATATAAAATACGAACATTAATTCGATAATAGAATTTTGAACGAAGTATATGAATATAAAATGGAAAGTTCAATCCCGTCGTAAAAAATCGATCAAAGTATACACGGCAATTTTATAGTTAAAAATTGAACTAATGATAACATCATTTTGCAGACAACTTAGACGTTTATCCTCGCTTATCTTCATAATTTTGCACAACTCCTGAAAAAATAGAAAAAGGGGTAGTTCAACTCTCAAAGCGGTATATGCGATTAGCTCTTACAAATACATAATTTAACGATTGAAAATTACACCGAGTAGAACGTTTTCTTCCGGCTAACATAAACGCCCACCATCTTGCGCCATAGTTGGCCCAACGTCGGCGAATATTCGCACAATCTAGCGTCACCCCGTTCCCTCATGGTGTCCTGTTGCACCAGCAAACCCGTGGTAACACGAGCCACGATGTCCAGCATCTGTCAGCATTATCGGCACAAATGACTTTACTAAATCACCGATCCGCCACGCCCTGGACATCGGGGATAGGGTTGCGTCAGTGTCCAGTGGGCAATCCTTAGGGAACGTTAACGAGACGATCATAAATATTCGCGGGAAGTTTTTCAGGTTTTCGTGGCGGACACCGAAAGGCTTTCCGCTAATTATCCTTGCGGTGGCTGGTTTCCAATTAACGATTTATTAGGACTGCCGCGGAAAGGGGTGAGCTCTGGTCAAAAGCTAATTGGGGCTGGCCTTCCCGGTGCCGCGGATTTCTCGCGGATAGTCCCACGGTTTCCAATTAACGATTTATAAGACTGTAATCGCAGCTCGGAGCTAATTGGAGCGAACCTCGCGCGCTGGTCTCCTCGTGTGCTGCCGATTTAGCCCGAGACCGGATGATCCGGGCCAATTAAGACGTCTTCGTTCAATTATCCGCGGTTGCGAAAACTGGCGGTCGTGTTCCCCAAACCGACGGCTTATAGACTCTCAAATCTCTCAACCGAAAATAGTATCGACACGTAGAATGGCGAAAATCAATCCGAACCACACGGTACACATTCAACAATAATATGATAATGTTATAGCGATTATACTTGTGTGTATCTGAATTTGCAGAGTAAAAAGTTTATAAAGGTTGAAACTGCAGGATAATAAAAAAAAATCCCCCAAAAGGTCCCACTAAACGAAACCGAAACTCGAAAGTTAAAAATCGTGATAAATGATATTTTAATACTCTTCCATTCTAAACATCCGAGTCCAATTCAGTTTTTTCGAATATATTAGAATGAAAATTAATTTTGAAAACAAGTCAAGAATTAGTGTCACTCGTAAGTGAACAACGCTCTCAAATCTTGATTAGGTAAATAATTCGTATTTTGTCACAAAAGTCGATGCTTTACGCAACAATTGTATTTCACATAGTTTGCAACCTACTTCATCAAGATCAACAGTGATCTACCGATTGGATCTAACAATTCTAACAGATCTACCTACTAGCTTAAGCTGGATGCTAGAGAATTATAATCTAGGTGGAATTACGATAGAATTTCGATCATCTAAACCAACTATACAATCATGAATTTAGCCAATCATAAAGCCGTTTATTTAGATACGCTGTCAGACTGAACATTTTCTGACTTACGCAATGAATAATATTACTACCGGATCGTTGTAAGCTGAAATACATTTACATGTGAAACATGCTTGAATAACACTAAATTCATCTATCAGCAGTTCAGCTGATCAAAATTCTGTTGCAGTCGACGGTAAACCAAATTCTTAGACTCGATAGCACAGAAATAACAGTTTAGATATTGTAACGTTTATTTATTTCTGTGCTATTTTTTCTGTGCTAAATTCTACTCAAATAGCAGTTTAGATGTTGTAACGTTTATTTATTTGAGTAGAATTTTCAGCAGAACATCCAATGAGGATTGGAATATATTATTTTTAACCCTTAAATGCATGAATTAATGAATTTTATTTAAAAAATAGGGTTATAATTTTTCAAATGAGTGGAAATCGGGAAAAATATTAAAAAAAATTATAAGTCATATCTTATAGGGTTTTTATTGAAAAATATTAATGATTCATTTTTGGTACACTATGCAAAATAGACATAAAAATTCTTTAGTTAGTATGACATATCTATAACAAAATTATAAACCACATGCATACCACACCAAAACAAAACCAACAAACCAATAAAGGAAGCATAGTACTAAATACATGTCGTAATTATTACCATTAGTGCATGTTGTCCCATTTTTGCATCAACACGAAATAAGCCCTCCATACACATGATAG